TATCCACATGTGGATATTTGCATGATTTTTTACAAGTGTATGTACACTTTTGACCACAACTGTATAAGTTATTTACGTACCAGTCTGGGCGTTATATGTCATCCACAGCTGCAGCTCAGTCTCTTCTCGTCTTTTTGCTACAACAGAGAAACGTCTGAATTCAGGATATGTAAGAATATGAAAAGAATGCACAATGCTCATAAAATGTCACCCGTAGTAACTCAATTCACTATATTAATAGTGAATTCCTAATATAGTGAATTAGGAATTAGCTGATTAAAATCTTTATCCAGATGGCTGTTAATCTGCCTTTAAGAAAAGGTAAACTGAAGGCTTCTGCTCAAGATTTGCATTCCTAGATGTCTGTTAAATCAAACATTGAGCTGAATAGATGGTAGCGCCAGTGACTCAGCTCCTAAATACCTGATTAATGGCTTTAATGGCCATATTAGTATCACACTTCTGGTTATAATTACTTGTAATTATCTTTTTACAACGTTACTATTCATCCTCAAAGCTAAAACTGAATTAAAGTAAAGTGAAGATTAATCAGATAAATAACCAAATAATGCATAAATAAACACCTGCATATCTGTGTCTCCTTCTCTTTCTGCACTTCATGCTGGTGAGGAAAATACAGACTAGAGCGATCAGGACGATCATTAACCCCAAACCAATGACAGCGACCAGCAGCAGAGCTAAAAACAAGCACAAACAATGATCATTAAACCACAGAATAATACTGAGATGATTTCTTATTGCTCTTAACTGTGTGTGGCTGACCATTCTCTGGTCTCTTCTTTGGTGAGCTCTGTGTTTCAAACACAACTAAAAACAAAAACAAAATGTAAAAATCTGTGCATTGCAGAATTTCTTTTGTGTCTTTAAAAAAAATAATAAACAGACTGAATGTATGATTTTGAAAGGAGAACCTACCTGACACAGCTGAGATTGTTCTTATTGTGGTAGATGACGGGATGCTGTCTGGCACAGGATGCTCTGAAATGTAGTTCTCAAATTTTAAAATCTACCAGTTGACAAGCATTATGAGTAAGTAATTAAGTATATTTTGCTGTCAATACTGACAACAAAAATGTCATTTAGAAATTATTTATTTATACATTTTGTATGTCTTTTCTGTTCAAATCCTTCTGTTGGTGCTTAAACACTGACCTCAATTTATTTTTCCTTATTTAAAGGTGGAATCATCGAGAATTACAAATTTGCATTTCTATGGAATGAATTGTATTTAAAAAAATATAAACTATTTATATTTCTAATCAATTACTTAAAAAGGAACAAGAAATTGCAAATCAAAGCAAAGATAAATAGGTCTGCAAATACATAATAAAGAATAATAACAGAAAAAATAACAGTTAGAATCAGGTTACTTAAAAAGACTATCAAATCTATATTTCAGTTTTCATCATCAATAATTCAGTTGTTTATTTTTTCTTGCTCTTACTGCAAAATTTTGGACAAAATAACCAGTTAAACATTTGACCGTGCTACCTTCCAGGACGGTGAGTTTTGCCTGTAGAACTCTGTTGCACAGATACTCTCCAGCGTCCCCTGGCTGCAGCTTTGTGATCTGCAGTGCGTTATTTATGTAGCTCAGGCGACTCGCGTCTTTTTCTGCTTTCCCTGTACCATTTCTGAAACGGGTGAAGATAACCTCCTCCTTCTGCCCTTCTCTCTGTCTAAACCACTTGTGTTTAGACTTAGAGGAGCCTCTGCAGGGAAGCAGAAGCGTCCTGCCTGTAGATACAGTGAAGTCATGTCCTGGGGGTCAGAAGCAGAATGATGACTGACTTTTAGTTTTTACCACTTTAAGGATTGCAGTGTACAGTTCAGGAATACATAGCCTCTCATATACAATAGTAAGGATGTCCTAGCTGGTATTTAACACTGTTGCTGCATTCTCATCATACCTGTGAGCACCTGCAGCTCAGCCACCAGCCGCTGGTTGCACTCATACTCTCCACTGTCTGAGTCCTCGAGCTTCAGCATGCAGAGACCACCATCACCCAACAGAACATAATGCTGACGGTCGTGGTTGGTCTGGTAGCTGCTCTGCCGTGTCACCAGGATCCTCTGGTTCTGATGAGTCCAGATCACATTGGAGCTGGCAAACCCCCCACATGGCAAGCACACGTGATGACCCTCCAATACGGAAACCCGGATCACTTCTGATGGAGAGAGACTGGCCAAAAACCTGAAGCTCTTAGCCTGAAGATCTGAGTTGGAAACCATTATTATATTTATGTTCCAATTTAAAAATAAGTTTGTTGCTCTTATTGCTTATGAAAATCATTTATTTTACTCTGGCGTTTGCAATTTTCAATAAATTCATACATGTATGTAGTAACTAAAAAAATTCAGTTTTGCTTCAAACTTAATTAAAATTAAATGAAAAAACATTTAGTTTTTATTTGTGATCAGTTAATTATTTTTGAATTTGAACATTATTTTGAGACAAGCAAACTGAAGCTCTTGAGATTCCCTCCAAATTACAAGGAAAAAAAAATTATTATACTCACTCAAATGTTAGTTTATAATTTTAGTAGTTTATCTGGATGACTCTAATATTAACTATGACAGTCACACCTTACTGGAAGTCAACTTTTAGCCTTGTGTCCTGTCTTGCTTGCACTTCCTGTTTTATCTCATGGAAACATGCTCACTGTCATCCACTAAGACTAAAATAATAACTGTACTGGAAAATTGTGACAAAACTTTGGGACATGGTGGTGTTCAAAATAAATAAATAAATAAATAAATAAATAAATGTGAAATATTTTTCAACAATATTGACAAAAAAATACAGAATAATATTTGTAAGACCTTCATTTTTTCTGTACTGTTTCATATAATTATATTATAATTCTAATGGCATTACAAACGAGGTAGTTATTCAATATGCTTTAGTAATTTTTTACACATGATAAAATATTTGAACTAAAATTGTAATTCTTTATGGGAGATTTTATGAATTTAATCAGTTGAAATCACCATGGAAAAAGTAACACAATAAAGCTGAATATCAATCATCAAGTGTTGTGATCCATTATGAGCACACATTATTAGCTGTATGATCAATATAAATGGTATTTAGAAGTATAAAAAAAACAGAGATCTGTCTGTACCTGTGGAGTTTTCAACACCGTCGATCACATCAGGGATCAGGAACCAGACATGACAGAAAATCACAAACCTGAGCATCTTCACCACAAGATAACAGAAAATATGACTGCAGGGCAGAGGTACTGTTGCCGGTTTGTCAGGAAAAATGAACCTTCTGTCTGTCTCAGTCTTTTTTTCCACATGTTCCTTCTGTCCTCCTTCTGTCCTCCTTCCTCTTCCTCAAGCTGAGACCTTTTACATCTGAGCATTAGAGGCTGGGAAAATGGGAATCTGAACTCTAATCATGGCTTTCAGGCTATACTTTAAGATTTAAGTAATTAATTCTGAAAGTATTCTTGGGTTTTCTGTCTGTGGATATGTAGGTATAAGGTGACCAATCACAAACAGAACCACTAAATTATAAAGGAGTTTGAAGAACGCCATGGACATAGATGACAAGAAAGACATGAAATAATAGGCTGACTATGTAAATGTATCCAATTAAAACAAGATGCCATTTTGAGAATAAATTATGTAATTCATGAATCTAAACACAAGATACCAAGAAATCCATAAATAAAAAATAACTGCACTTGACCTAAACAGAGGATGCAACAAAGGACAACAAGGATCATAGGCATCAAAACAAGTGATGTCTGACAGGAAATGAACGTACATAGTGACAGTGACAGTTGATTGCATGATGTTGTTAACTTTGCAGCCATCTCTCATTCTGAGCCGGCATGTGGTGACAGTGGAAAGGAAAACTTCCTTTAGCTGGAAGAAACATCCAGCAGAGCCTGGCTCAGTCTGAAAGGCCATCTGCCTCTGGTGGGTTTGGAAGACAGAGCAATCAATCACCAAAACACCAGGACCCTGGTTCAAAGCAGCCTCTATGTTAATAAAAGTTAAGAGTTAAGAGTGTCTTCATCCAGGAGAGAAAAGTTCAGATACGTTCTGTGCCAATAATAAAATCTATATGAAAAATATTAGTGGCAAGAATATCCCCTTTATTTGCTTTATTTGAGAGAGTCTCAAGTGCAAGTGCCCAGTCAAGTGCCTAGAGAGAACATGAAATAATGAGCAACCACAGCTGCAAATAACTTCACGGATGATTAGCATCATCACACTTTCTAAACAGAAGTCAGAATCAAAATTAGCTTCTTCAGCCAAACTTGTGTCCAAAAACAAGGAATTCACATTCTCATAGTGTAGAGACAGTAAAAATATCTAAACTGTAAAGGAAATATGATAAAGAAGAGAATAGCAGCAAAGTACAGCACAAACACACAAGAGTCTTAACATCCAATTGTTGGTTATGGAATAAGTTAAGATGAGAAATGTGTTTAAGGCCTTAAATTGACAGTTTTTCTTTCTTTTTGCAATGATTTAAAGATTTACTATGTCTTATCTGATTTTTTTTGTCTTCAGAGAGAAGTATTGATGCTTAAAAAAATAATAAATGTATTACATTTATCCCTAAAACCGTTTTAGTGATTACTTCTGCATCCTAGGTGCACAAAGAATTATCACAAATCCTCTCTCCCACCAGCTGTTAGACTTCATCACTATTCCCAAAAACAGTCAAACTCATTAAATGTTTTCTTCACTGCTGTTATTTTCACTTTTTCTCATTTCACAAAATTACTGCTGTTATTTATACAGTCCATTTTCAATTTCTCTGTTCCTGTTTTCAATTTACAAATATACACATATTATACACTCTGAAAGAAAATTATCCTAAATTTCTTTTGATTTGAGTGTGCTATTTTTAATAACTGAATAGTATTCTTTTTCTTGCGCTCCTCTTACTGTACAGTTTCAGTTTTTGGACTTTTTTTAGCCTCAATTTGCATATGCATGCTTCCATTTTACACTTGATACCCTACAATAAGACAACAAATGAAATTTCTATTTTTTGAAAATGGTAAGTCAAAAACAACTATCTAATGCATACTAAAATATGATGCACAAATCTCAAATTTCAAAATGATTTTTAAAATGTATTGGACTTTACTTTTATGGAAACTCAAAAATTGAATCTGTGTCTTACTTTTTCAAACAAACTCCCCCTCTGATGAAGCAACAGCCACTGTGATTTTACAGTGCATGACTCACCTTCTGCCTAACTGAAATTGATTTTTAGATTACCCTTTCCACACTGAAAAAGCAAAAGTTTTAGTATAACCACCTCTTCCCTGTTCGGTTATGTAACAGCTCCAGCCGGGCACATGCAGAGCATTTCAAAACTGGTCCTAATCCCATAAAAATCAATGTTTTGTAAATGTTTAATTTTTTCCTAAAATTGACAATGAATGTTTGGAAAACATTCTAGTCTGATACAGGCCAGCTTTTCTGTTACAATGCTTGAATCCACGTGAGACTTCTCATAACTATTTTTGTTTGCACTGGAAATTATCGCGTTGTTTGGCTCTGTGTTATTGTCACTCAAACATCCGCAATCTTATTGGACGGAATCCTCTTTAAAGGGATGTCCCACAGGCTCCTGTTTAACAATAGGTTCACTAACTGCCCAATCAAAGTCTTTCGGCAATTTCATTGGTTCTTATCTACGTCGATCAGAGCCTTCTTTACTCTCATTGGGTAAACCAACAAAAGTAGGCGGTAACCTTCTGGAAAATGCGTTTCCTAGTCTGTCATATGCAAAACGAAACGAAGGATCGATAACTTGACTGGAGGGCATGAAAAAAATCCAGTTTTCTACTCGATTAAAAAAAATTCTATTACTTCATGTCGCAAATGGTAGCCAAATCTAGTATTAGCGCGTTAGCTTGAGGATAAAGCTAAGAGTTTTATCTAGTCTATGTTTGTTTAGCTGCTGTTATCACGTCTGCAGACTCCTGCTGTCCAAACACACACCGCCTTTGTGGCGATGACTGCGGATTTACTGTCTGATCTGGACAGCCGATTCTTCGCTGATAACCTACTGACGAGCGAAGATTGGGGTAAGGACACTTTTAAATCCCTCTATAAATAAAGATAAATGGCTAAAATTGTCATTACAAGCTAACTGGGTGCGCTAACTGCTGCACCGAGGCGAGGCCAACAGGGCGTTACAAGATTTTCATTTCAGTTTTACACGTTTTTAATGTTTATTCCCGAGTCTTACAACTGTAATTTATATTTCAGTTGGTTTTCATTGTGATACGTGTTGCACGCGGTTTTAGCGTTACTCTGAACTTGCTTCCTCAATCATCTAACCCGGACGTAGCTGTTTATCATCCTCACACTGGCTGGGAACGTGATCGCACGTTTTACATAACCTCCTCTAACTTTTTCTCTTTAAAATTGCCGCTTTATTGACTCTTGTTGACATGATTTTCATCTAAACCTATTCTTAGTTCAAGAAGAGTTCCCGCTATTTCCTACAATCTATCACTGTGTTTTAATGATACAATACTTATCAAAACATCACTGAAGATTGCAGACGTTTAGTTGCTAATAGTCAGAATAACACATTTCTAATCAAGTTTGCAGCTGTAACATGTGAAATATACTCCTGTAGTGGTTTTGGTAAAACAATTTGGAAATAAATTGCTTAGCATGGGATTATTTTTTATTTTTATTTTTTTTAACTAAGCCATGGTTTTACTGCTGCTGGAAGAAGAACATACAATGTATTGTTGTGATGCTAATATTTTTTTAGCAGGTTAGCCCAAATTTGAATCCAGTTTTGTCTCATCATCAATATGTGTTCAGGACAGTCAGTAATATTTAACATCTCAATCATTCGTTTCAAGTTCAGGTGTGAGCTTAAAAGATGTGTGAAATTTAGATCTTGTGCCAAAACTAAAATCTAATCAGCAATTTAAAGAAAATATTTGTTAGTCCTTATTGATATGTGTTAGACTTCAGTTCAATATCATTATTATGGGCTGGTTATACTATTAGAAAATGATGTTTTAAAAACCACTAAATTGTTTCTTTGACTTATTTTTACAATTTAAAGTGGTTGTAATAAAATGCTGAAGAGAGTTGTAGCTACCAAAATTTTCTTTAGTTTGATGTAGATCAATCCTTCTGCCCCTTCCCTCACCTATTGTTGCAGACTGCTGGTCAGCTGGCTGAATAAAGGCTACTACTGTTTTCCATAGCTTACAAGAAAGACAAATTTAGACGAAACGGATAGTTTGACTAATTAACCAGCTGACGTCATCTTGTAGCACTTTATATTGTTTTATAAACAGCAGAATGACAAAAAAGTCAAAATAGTTAAATTTAAAACAGGCATTTCAACACTCATTTTAGATTATGTTTATAATGTTTTATTTATTTCTGTTTTAGCATTAAATAAAAAGAAATGCGTTAATGCTATGCATAAATATAGTGTAAATACTGCGATACTGAGGTATTTTTACTTAAGATCTTTTTATTATTATTATTTCTTTTTACTGAGAATCTCATAAGGGCCTACATTTAACCCTCCTGTGGTGAAATACTTTGCTTTTCCCACCTGTAGCAGACTGACTGTAGCAGTCGACTCCACCACATCTCAACCAATGTGCTGATTGATATCAGTCATGTTTATTTTTAGTTGGTGGTTTTGACAGTTTCTAATGAACAGTCAGTAGATGTGTTTGAGACTTTTTGTTGAGGTGTTATTTGCGATTGCAGCTTAAAGTTTAGACTTGATATGTTTTCTCTGTTTAACTCTGTCTGCCCACTCCGCCTCAGATCTTTTAGGTAAATTTGACAGTCAAACTGAGCAGTTTTATGGCTCACTGTGGACCGAAGGACAAAGCTATTTCTCGCCCCTTCCAGTCAAGTAGTAAACGTGATTAGATTTAGGTTAAGGGTAGGTGAATCATTACTTACGGCTGGCAGAAAGTAGGTTGAGTTGAACTGCTTCAGAAGACACATTTACGATTTCCTGCAATCTCAAATTCTTGCAACACTGAAAAGTTAAAGTTCAGGAACAATCTTTTTCTGCTTTTTAGCGAGATCATATAGATTATGTTGCATTTCTTTATTCTTTTTTCAGTAGCTCAAAAAGGTGACTTCTTTCATGTAATAAGCAGGAAAAGACTTAAAACCTTACAGATACTTTTCTTTTACCAATTACTTGACTTGTTAATGTAAATTCACTTGAGTAAGTATAATCATTTGCCTATGGAATTTTAAAACTGATTTAAAAAATGTTTCTTTTGATTTTTTGTTCTCCTTAACAGAATCTGATCTCACAGTAAAAGCTGAAGTGTCCCCATTTTATTTCAGTTTCAAAGTCCAGTGTGTGGCTCATCAGAGAACGCAAAGCATGATGGGAGAAGTACCATTTTCTACCACTTTGCTTGTTTCCTGTAAATGAGGCATAAAATTAGCTTTTTTACAAACAACAGCGCTTGTGTGCCAGACTAAATAGAAACATGTCTTCATATCTCCTGATGTGATCTCATAAAGATTCGTAGTTGACACATTTATGTGTAATATCTCTGTAGATTGTAGCTTATTTTGCCACCGAGTTTGATAAAGATATTAAAAAACACATTTACATTGTTAAACTTCTGCCTGAGATTTAGTTTGGCTGCTGTCAGTGAACATTGTAACTTTCTAAAATATTTGTGTCACCTCACAGATTTCTCCTCCTTCTTGCTGGAGGAATCTAGTTCATAAGCGTTTATCTGATTCTTCTCAAATTCCTTTAGTGAAGGCTTTTTAACATGTGAGAGGCAACGTTGTACATCCATTCAGCCATCACAGTTTGTAGAAACAACTCATTTGTTAATTCAGATTCTGAGCGAAGGAAAAAAAAAAAAATCTTTCATCCATATAGAATTAAAATATCTGCAACAAAATAATAGAAAAAAACATTCTGTTAGAAAATTAAAACAATATATGAAGTAAAAAACATTGAGAATATCACATGTTTATTGTCACTGTTAGCTAGTAATTGTTAGCAAAAACGTTAATTCGGTACTATTGAAAACAGATGAAATGGTAAAAACTAAAATGACTCACTGAACTGGATTCTGTCTCTAAATTGTTTCATGCAGTTCTAAACTGTGAATTAACATTATGTTTCAACTGGCTGTTGCAGACCTATTTATACATGTTTCAGGTTTTGCCAGGCAGAAAGTCACAAAGATGCTCCTGGTTCTTTCAACTCATTTATGTGAGAAGACTGAACATCTAGATCAAAATCTTTGAGGCTAACAATAAAATTTTTGTTATTTGCTGTCCTCTAATTGTGTTTTGAGGTTTAACTTGTGAAAGAACATTTGCATGCAGTTTCAGTCAAACTGATGCATGACTGAATCTGTTTGTGTCTCAATTTTGTTTCTTTCAAAGCGTTGCCTTCTTGTTGGATTGAATGATTTTTGGTGATGTTTCGGTAGTGTTCCCAAGTACTGTTTTTACATGTTCAGAGATGCAAATAAAATGGCTGATTTGACTCTCCTCTGGTTTTGGACCAGCTTGTTTTTCGCTTCATCATCTGCCCCTGAGTTTTGTTCCCTGCTCTTTGCTGATGTTTTGAACATTTTGTCTCCTCTGCAGATGCCTGCCTGTTCAAGTGCGAGAGCATGGAGGAAGGAGAGGACGGGGACTTCAGTCAAGGCTTGAAATACGAACCATCGGTACGGTCATGAAAATATGTCTATGCATTGCAGCTTTTGTTTCACTGCAGCTGACACTCAGCATTCATTGCTCAATTTGAGCCCTTCTAAATGATAATTCACTCTGTACTCTCTAAACTTGGATGAATTGACTAACACTCTCGTTAAAACTGATACAAAGAATATTAGTACGAATAATTCTCTTAGGATTAATGAGAATAAATAATCTGAATTATAATTTAGGGGCAGAGATATGAATGTTTCCTGCTCCATATAATGTAGAGATATTAAAAATGACAGTAAGTTTGACAGTTCAGATTGTTAGACCAGTGAAAAAAGCAAGTTTCTCTGCACAATTTGTGTCACAAAGGAATCAAGTGAAGAGAACAGAACCATGGTTACAGATTAATGTTTTTAAATGACGTCCAGGTGCATCAGTTTTTACGGGATAATTTAATCAGACTTCGTCAGCTCAGTTTTATTTCACCCAATCAAATGGATTAACTCTACTTCCTGAAAAAAGAACTTATTGGATAGATAACAAGTGCAAAAAAACAGATTTACCAGAACGTGTCCTCTTATTGTTTAGCTGTTCTTAATATTTTTTTGTTCTAATTATTCTAACAAGGACATTAGCTTTTACTCTAGTGAAGGCTATATTTTGAGTTAACCTTTTGTAATTTTATTTTATTTTTTGTCTGACAGTATAGAAATGCATTTTCTGCTGACTGTTTAGTTACGGTTTAGTTCATGAAAGTTTAGTTATTCACAAAAAGTTGCAAAAATTTTAATTGTTCTACTTGATTGTTTTATATCAAATCAAATCATATCAGGTCTGTCTTTGGTGTTCTTGTATCTGTATTGTATTAGATCAGTTACAGTGTATTGGTTAACATACAAAAGCAGATATACTGTATAAAAACCATAGGCACATATTAACCTGTGATGCTCAGGTTTTTCCTTTCTGAAAATATAAAAAGGGAATATCAATTATAGTATAATGCTTATTGTTGTAAAAACATTTTAATTGTAAGTAGTTAGTTAAAAATAAATGTTTGTGTTTGTCTAGCAGACAAATTTGACTGGAATTTTATATGAAAAGTGAAGTTTATGTAGAAACATTGTTAAATTGCTGACACACTAGAATTTTTCTGTTGTATTGGCATGTTCCTTATTTTCAGCTATGTAAATTTGCCAACTATCAAAGTATTTTTATTTCAGAAGGAGTAGAGGCTAAATGTAACAAAGGAAGGAACAATATCATTTAGATGTTAATCTTGCATTATCTTTGAAAGATAGCTTTATGAATCTGCTTTAACATTTTATTGCACAGTAGTGAAGTTTCTAAGGTTGAATATTTTAACAAACTACAGTGGGAAATTACTTGTACATTTGACATTTTTCACTAGTTTGCTCAGGATGTGTTCAAATGCTTGAAGGTGTTGGATTTGGCATGGATTCTTGTTCCTGGTCAGTGCCGAGCTACATCCTGGTTAAACCTGTACAGTTAACATCTTGTGCTTTGTTTTTTTTATTAACAGAGTGGCTGAAAAGTCAAACAAAGTGCTGACAGTTTGCAGTTTTCTGAGGAACTGGTTTAGTGATGGTTTTGATGGAATCTCTTTGCAGTTTGCTGACTCGGTCTGCATTGTAAGGGTTACAGCATCATGTCATTGAGTTCTTTAAACCCGATTATAATGTAAATGTCAATTCCTAAATTTTAAGTTTATTTATCCACAGACTTAGTTATTTAGGCAGAGATTTTCTTTTTAAATGCTTGTAACCAGCAGCTGCAGCAAACTATACAGAATACAGAAGTCATTGGTAACAAACTCTTGGGTTTATATACAATTATAATCAGGTTGTCGAAGCAGCAGCTCACACAAATGAATGGTCAGGGCACAGTGCAGGCAGATGGTGTGTGTCGCCTGACTGAGTAACACAAACACACACACACACTCAGTTACACACACTCAGACACACTAACCCTGCAGTTGTTTGGACACGTTTCCTGACTTTTTCCACTTCACTCTCTCTTTCTCAAACCTCTCCTCACAGTTTGACAATGACCTGGTGCTCACCCTCGATCCTGATAACCGCACGTCGCCATGGCGATACCTTGACGACAACCTTCTCACAGGTACACACCGTCCGGTCGCCTGTGGCTCTCACCTCAGGGCCCTTGGATCACATCGCTTAGCATTTTGGTTTCACGGATCAGTCGTCTCTGCAACACGAGACGCTTCGTTCTCAGCCTGTGGAAACTTTCAGCTTTTAGAAGCAGTGACTCTGTCTACATCTGCAGGTCTCCTCATCCTGTAGGCTTCAGTGTGAAAATAAAAACGTAACAACTCTAATACTCAAAACCACTTCTTTTTAATTGAAAACATACTAGCTGAACAGTTTAAGCTTACTTGTGTTGTTTATGTGGTTGCATGGTTCTTTGAAATCCCAAATGAATTCAAATTAAAGGATCCGTGGCATTTTTATTCATTATTTATCCATACAAGATGTAACTTTCTCACTTTCATGTTTTCTTGCAGAGAGCCAGCAAAGCTCAATTTACTGAATCTAGTGCTGTTTTGCTTTCCTTTGTCTGAGAAACTTATGAATACAGACAAAAAATCTTCTCAGGAATTTAACTACTCACCTGCTATACATCAAGTATAGATACTTCTAAACTTACAACTATAATCCAAGAAGACTGCTTGAATAAAATGTTTGGTTAATGATGATATTTAATTAAATTAAAGTATATAAAATCTATAATAATATTTGGCCTGTTGGATTGTCTTTTTCATTATAATTGATGCTCACACCTGCAGTAGATTTATTTATTTTTTGTAGTGGTGGCAACAGATGTCTTGCCCACTATCTGTAATGTTTTCCTAACATGGTGCTATTTTATTCTCAAATGAAATAATTTAATTTAATTTAAAGCCAACAAAGAATTAAATATAAGGTGGACATTATCACTGTATTAAAAGTTATCAAATCAGATCATACAAAATGGAAAAAAGATTGACTCAGGAAGCTCAGTTGAGATCATTGATTTTGCAGAAATCATTGTCTTTCGTTCCATGAACCAGCTTTATGCAGCTCATTGTTCCTGAGAGGTGTATGTACAGTTTACCTTTTTACCTTTTTGACAAAACCAATTATTTTTGATTCAGGCATAGCATTAAGAAAGAGAATCTGCTTCAGGTTTTAATTATGTTGACATGTTTATTAAATGTTATTATTTTTGGCAGAACTGAAGAAATCCATTGATATTTGCTATAAAATCTGTTTTGCTTTCCTTTAAGGGCAACATTTTCATTTAGCAACATTTTGAAAGGTTTTTGCTCTTCATTTAACATTAAGTTTGGTGCATGCATCTAATTGCATTTAAAGGGCTTTATTTATCCAGTCATAATGTTGTTTAATATCACAACATCCGTCTCTGTTTGTGTGCTTGTTTCGATTCTGTTTAGGAAACACTTCGGTGATAAAAAATGAGATGACATTGACGGAGCCGCTCCCTGTGGAAATGTGTAAGCTGAGTTTGTCCTAATCTAATCTTTGCACATTGTGTTTTCACAGTGTTTCCACTGGCTATGTTGTTTCTGTTCAGTGTTCCAGGTCAAGGCTGAGCCTCCCTCTCCTGCTTCCTCACTGGAGTCAGATTGTTCGACCTCGTCTCCTGACCCACAGGTGGGATTTTTCAGATGATTGAGGAGGCTGTTTTATCACACAAATAGACCAACGGAACTGTTTGTGTCATGATTTGGATGCTTATCTTTTAATATTTGCTGCAGACTTCTGCCCAGGTCCCCCTTGAAAATGAGATCTGGATCTCAATGGGGTTTACCTGGTTAAATAAAGGAATAAAAAAAAAAAATATTAAAGGAAACTAATAAATAACTGAAGATATATTTCAAAGTAATAGTGTAAAGAGGTAATCTTTATTTATTTTTATTTATTTAACCTTTACTTAACCTGGTGAATGATTAAGAATTTTTTTTATTTACAGTAATGACCTGACTGTGAGGGAAGAACACAAACTTATTGTCCCATCTCCTTTCCAGGTTACAATTAAAGCCGAAAACCCTCCGACTCCTCCGTACATGTATGGAGACGTACTGTCTCCTCCGCTGGGGACGATGGAGGTAACCGTGGCAACGACAGCAGTACCCCCACCCCAGTCCCAGATTCCAATAATGACACAGACTCAGCTGCAGACACCATTAACATCTGTCCAAGCAGTCATCAATGGAATACAGACACAAACTGCAGGTATGTGGCTTCTTCTGAAGCGTTTACTCCAGTATTCTTCTATATTGACACAATAAGAAGCACGAGACAAGCATTACATTAGGACTCCACACCTTTTGTTCATGCAAATCTGAAAACAGGATATTCCACTCGTGCTTAGTGTTGGCAGTTTTTTTTTTTCTTTTCTCTGCACATATCTGCGAGCTGTCAGCGCTAGAGCCTGAATAGAGAGCTCGGTTTACCTTCCACTCATCTGCGGAGGTATTCTGCACACAGACCCTGGGGCAGCCCCCACACAATGGTGGGAGTACTGTATAGGTGTGGGAAAGAAGAAGAAGGGTCTGTGGTGGGTTGTAACCGAATACAGAGTTTTGGATAAATGGAACGTTTCTAGTCTTCATACTGAAAGGCCTTCGGCATTTGGGTAACTCCAAATTAGCTTTAATGAAAGCATGAAGGATCTCTAAGTTATTGCATAGTTCCATCTGCCCAGTTGTCTTGTTTTATAAAGTGTATGTATATTTATGAGCTTTGCTACGTTTTAGGAATTTTATACCCAGTAAAAACAGACATTTCCTCGTTGGGACAAGGATCATAGGAATTATTTTGAAAAGAAAACGTTGAAAACGAGATCAAGATTGGTGTTGAGAATCAGAGGAAAGTTACCAAGTTAACGTATATTTGGTGTCTAATTATTGAAATGGGCAATTGTGATCATTTTATGTGCATCTAAACTAAAGTTTTGTGGATTTTAGTTGTGGTCTCTCACCCCAAATAAACAGAGTGGCTGAGAAGTCACTCTGTGACCAGTACAATCATATGTTCTGATTTATGATGTTATCAAAGGCCCTGTTTGTTAAAATATGAGATTTGCTAACATTATACAACATGAAGTTGTAAAAAGTTTGTTTTGAACTGCTTGTTTTCATTTCCAGTTGTAGCACCAACTGTTCTCCACCTTTTCTTGTTTCTTCACACTTGATGTTGAGGGAGAACTGATTTAAAAAGCTTCTTCTGAACTCAATAACATGCTGGAGAAAGTAGTTAGTCATTTCATCTAGTGTGTTCGAGGAGGAAAGCATTTCAGAACAGTGGTGCACAACACAGAGAAACTGCTACAGAATATATCTTTTTGTGATGTGAAATAACCTAAATGTTTGTGTTTTTTACCAGTCCTGCCAAGCACATTAAAAGCCAGCACCATTCTGAGCACCAAACCTCCCATCCAGCCCCGACCGGTGTGTGTTGCTGCTACACTCCCTGTCCCCCAAAACCCTGCACCAGCGAAGACCCTCATACTGCAGGGGCTGCCCTCCATGGATCAGAACAGACCTGGTAGGACAGTATTGTCCCTTTAGCCGTATTTATACATTTTCTTATTTATTTTGTTAAAGAATGAAGATCTTCAAGTATTTTTCATGTGAAATCAAATGCAACTACCAGATAAATTCCAAAGTTTTTGTCCTCTGATTTTAAATTCCAGGTAAAGTAATTAGCTTTGTGTCTGATCGCTAACGTCGCGCCTTTCTCCCTCCAGTCGTCCTCTCTCCGTCCGTCTGTCTCAGTTCGGCTCCGGCTATTGTCAAAATGGAGCCCGTGTCCCCCAGCATCCCTCCGCACTGCTCCAGCCCAGCTGCCTCCTCAACCAGCAAGCCCATCGTCCCGGCGACCACGCCGTTACCCAGCAACAACTCCAACGATATTGATGTGAGTAGGTGGATGCAGTGACTCACGCTGAAACAAAACCCTGCCAGGTTGAAGGCTGGCTACAATGTTTTGCTCTTTTTCTGTCAGTAAATGTGCTGAAACTAATATCAATACCCACAGTTCATTACTCAGAGGTTTATAAACATCTTTTCATTTTTGCTTGGCACTCAGAGAAAAAAAAACTTTTCAGTTTTTCAGTTATAAATCCACATGATAAAGGTTTACCGACCTCGATCTCTGCTGCTGATTTTAACTCGTCTAGCTGATTTCTTTTCCATTTTGAATTCTGAATCATTTCTGCCTACTTCCTTCCCTCTTCCAAATTTTCCTTGCACAGATGAAGGTGCTAAAGCGGCAACAGAGGATGATAAAGAACCGAGAGTCTGCCTGCCAGTCGAGAAAGAAAAAGAAGGAGTACCTGCAGAACCTGGAGGCTCAGCTGAGGGAAGCTCAGCAGGAGAACGAACGACTCCGCAGGGAGAACCAGGCGCTGAGGGAGAGACTGGCTGTGAAGGAGGTGAGTGGCGGTGAGACAGGATGGACAGGTTTGAAGAAAGAACAAGTTGCAATAATAGGAAACAAAAATATGTAATAAAATTTGCTCCATTCAGTTAAAAGCAGAGTTAAAAGAAGTTTGTTTTTAGGTCCAGTGTAAAAGAGATTCAGAGCTGAATTTAAGCTGTTTTTAAAAACGGCCAAATAAACAAAGAGCAAGCATCTTTATGTCTTTAAAACTACATATGGAGAGCAGCTTTTTCTTCTACTCTGTTGGTTTTGCACCTGCACACCTGAAGAAGAGGAAGAAGCATGTGGTAAACAGGGAAACTTGAATAACAAGACCTGAAGACTGACAGGAAAACGCACAAGAAACAGAGAAACCTGCTAATCCAGTTGATTAAAACAACACAACAAAACTATAAATCATGCAAGCGTTTCCTTTCGGTATATAGCAAAATGGACACGTTTGCAAAATAGAAAGCTAATTTTACACATTTTTGAGATTCAGCATATGTGAAGCAAAATTTCCATTTTTATGTTCTTTGTGTTTCAGAGCAGCGACTCTGCAAGCAACAAGAGAGCAGTGTGTGTCATGGCGGTTCTGCTGTTCATCACCTTCAGCTTTGGCCCCGTCAGGTATCCGCTCATGGCTTTCTTCAAAATATTAGGATGATATGATTTAGTTTAACATCTCAGCTTGTTATTGTGTCATTCAGTGTCCAATTGTTGTTTTTACAAAGTAAAAGCACAAACTATATTGTCCTGTATGGAATATATGGAAAACACACAACGGTCATATTTGAGATTGAAATGAGTTTGGTGTTTATCTCTGCAGCATCACAGACAGGAAGCTGTCGGCCGGTCTGCAGGAAGATCTGGTGTCATATACGGGTCGCCGGCTGCTGGAGATGGAACAGCAGCAGGAGCGTCAGGCTGATCCTCAACCTCTCCAGAAAGTTGAGGACAAACCGGAGAAACCGGAGTCCGGTGGCGACGAGCGGTGGAAGGGAGGAGAGGCGGAGAGATACGCTCCAGAGTCTTATCAGTTCCGGTGAGGCAAATCAGTCGCTGTAAGCACATTATCTTGACATGCAGTGAAAAGACTGGGAATAAACCGAGGCTACAACTTCCACTGTGAAATTTTGATTAATTTTATATGAATGAAATCACACTAAGTTTTAAAAAAAAACGAGCTATTACACTGAAGGCGACTGTTTTCACAACCCAATATCACTTTATGCTAACAAACACAGACTGATGTAGAATGTAGTTTTTTTTTTTTTTTTTTTTTTTTAGCAATACATTGACCCTTATTTAAGGGCTACTCAATGTATGATTGTGTAAATATTGTTGTATTGCTAATATTTCAAAGGACTTTGCAATAAATACTTTTAGTTGAAGTATTGTGAACATTTTTTACTTAAGATAGGATCAAAAGTCATTGCAGAATAAATTCTTCAAGTGGTCAATTTATTATTTTTTTTAAACAACCATTAAAAACTCAAATGCTAGATTTGGTTACTTAAGTTATCTTGTTTTTTTTTTTTCTGTTGTGCAGCGGATAAATGATGCTGTTTGGTCATTTTCTCATATTGGTGTCCCAGTTCTCATTGTGTTGTTTGTTGCACCCTGTTGTAACTCATTGCTATCCAGAATGGGAAACCTGCATTTTATTTAGACACCCAACAAAGCTGCTTCTACAACATATCCCTCACTTCTTACATGTGGAACATAGAGTTTCTCTGCAGGAGTTTTACCAACTTTATTTAAAGAATCTTAATTTAAAGCACAGACTTACATTTAGTAAAAACACGATTATTTATTTTATTTCTCCCAGCAGCTTTCCTAGTGTCTAACCATTGTCCTGTATTTTCTGGTTGGTGGGCAGAAACCTGAGTGACATGTTCAGTGACATGAAGGATCTGGTTCTGCCAGACATCGAACGTTACTTCACTTCCTCAGACTGCCGACAGTTCAACCGCTCCGAGTCTCTCAGGTCAGTCCTGCCCTTTTCGAAATATCTCGTTTTATCACGGCTTCATTTTTTTTTACCACCTCCTCAGGAGAAATTTGTAAACAAATGTTTAAGCCCCTCAAACTGCACAGGGACAAGTAATACTTGAATTACCTTTTGCTGTATTTGTTCACTAATTACTCTTTTCTCATTTCATTAGTAAAGGTTAAAAATTAGTCACATAAACAGCCCTGTTTGTTTCACAACCTGCAACTCATTAATGTGTTCATCTTTGGTTTGATAGATCTCAGTTAGACTTCCTCGGATTGTTTTTGCTCAATCTGAGCAGCTGCTGCACATTTTGTTGATGAGATTATCCATATGGACACACTAAAGCTAGTTTTTAAAAATGAGGAAAAAAAAACAAAACTTTTTTTTCATAGCGACTTAAACTGAAAGATCTCTGTGACTCCAGGCTTGCAGACGAGCTGAGAGGTTGGGTTCATCGACATCAAATCGACAGGAAGAAGTCTGGAGGAAAAGCAAAGACGGCCAAAAAAGCAAAGATCACCCAGGTGAGAAATATCCATATTTTTAAGATATCATCTACTTTATAAAAATAGTTTTGATAACCAGGAAAAGACTCATTAAGATCTCCTTTAGAACACTTTCTTAGCCAGGGAAGGCAGCAGCACGTAAACACAGTTTCAGTTGTAAAGGATTTAACTTGAAAAAATCAAGACAAACCTTTTTTGTATCTTTCTTTTGAAACAGAAAGCTCAACTGAGGAAGGCAAACATTTCCAGATATCTGCCGATCCAGGCTCACCGCTCCATAGAAAGGTACAACAAGACTGTTATTAAGAAGGTGACCTAACTATGAGTAAAGAAGACAGTTTTTTTTTTTTTTCATTTGACAGACTACAGGTGCAAAAAAACCTGAAAAGAAATAATTAATACCAAAATTATCTTATAAAATTCAAGAAATTCAGTTGTTTTCTTCTAAATTTATAAAGTTGAACTTTGAAGTAATCAAATCCTGAATTGGAAGGACATGTAATATTGATACTTTTGGAGCTTAACTACATTGAATTATCTCATTTAACAAATATTACAACCAGTTTCTCAGTTCAAATCAGTTTTTTTCTCAGCAGCAGCTCATTCTGCTTTTTCTAATAACACAAACAAGCAGAAACGCTTCTCCTTTCTGAGACTGGAAACATCAAATATGTTCACAGTGACTACTGAATGATTCCATCTTATTACTGAATTGCAGCTTTGGCCATCACATCTTTTTATATGTTTTTAAAGATGTTTCCTTATCCGTAGTGCTTGATTTGAACTAAACAGAACATTTTTGCCATAGTTCTTACATTTCGGTAAACAGAATATTAATATTTTGGTTTGAGTTTTTAAGCTTCTTCTTCTGGCTCTTGTTCCCCTGCAGTCAGCTGAGGGTACTTCCTGGTCCTGAGGTCACCTACAGCGACTTCCTGGATGCCATTGACCGCAGGGAAGACACGTTCTATGTCGTGTCATTCAGGAGGGTGAGACTATTAAAAACATTTCGGTTCCAGTTTATGATTTTAGATCTTAAACATCAGATGCTAATCAATCAAAATGTGTTGATTCCTGCAGGACCACCTGTTACTTCCTGCCATCAGCCACAACAAAACCAGCCGGCCTAAAATGTCTCTGGTGATGCCAGCCATGTCTGTTAACGGTGAGTCTGTCTGGATATCTAAAACATCTGGAGAACAGGAAATGATGCGTTTACTGACCTGGTTCCTGGGTTTGACCTTTCTGGTCTCGTCCTCCGCAGAGAGTCTCTACAACTCGTCTAAGGGCTACGAGATGATGATGCAGGTCGACTGCGAGGTCATGGACACTCGCATCGTCCCCATAAAGTCCTCTGCCGTCCCTCCGTCTCTTCGCGACCCCACCCCTCCTCCGCCCGCCTCCCAGCACGGTGCTCACCATCACCACGGCAACAACACCTCCCTCAGAGGGCGCCACCAGCACCATCCATCGTCTTCATCCCCCTCTCCAAGGCAGCCTCTGCCCGCCCGAACTCAAACACCCGAATACTTGATCAGCCAATCAGAAGGCGTCTGAGGAGACACAGAGACGAGTCTGATGGTTGAAGGTTGGTGACTCAGATGAAGAATCGAAGGAAATCTTTTTAAAATCTCTTCACTAAGCAAAAAAGGTTTCAGAGACGTTTAAAATCCAACAAAACTGTGTTAAATTCTGTGAGTTTATCTAGCATTTCATCAGCGACGGGTACTGACAGGACCAAATAAAATACTGTCACAATACACAGATCTATTGAAAGAGAATCAAACTGATCAGTTTCAGTTTTCTTTAGAGACTACTCGGTTATTTCCCTTTGACAGTCAAATCTTTATCAAATTTGACTCTTTATCGGACTCTGTTCAGTTTGATGGGGCCACATTTTGAAGTTCTTGTGGACGTTGCATATTTAAACCCGTCAACTCTTTGGTCCTGCAGACATGCTAAAGTCACTAAGAAAATAAGTTATTGCGATATAATCTACATGTTTAGAGGTTATATTCAGGTTTCAGGACATGAAATGTTTTCAGTGTCACGGATTGAGTTTTTTTTAACGGTTTCAGGGTTTAAAACTTTCGTCTTGGGGGATTCTAGGCATATAGAGACATGATGTACATATTTATATACATTGTGATCAATAAAACTGCAGAAATCTAGTGTTCCTTTATCTGAAAAAAGACAAGAAACTTTAAAGGCCTTTACATTTTGTTGTAAATACAGTGTATTTCATAAATCTGATTATTTGACACAGCATTGACAGCTGTTGCATGACGGCGGACACTATTTGGTTAAAAAAAATCTGAGGTGTTTTTTTGTTATTTTTGTAGATGTTATACATTTTTACAAAGGAGTCTTGTTGATTTGTTTTCCCAGCAAACATACACTATATGAATGAAATTGAGTTTCAGCAGAAACAATTTGTTTAATGAGTTTAAGAGTTAGGCCAACGCAAGATTTGAGCCTGCAGATTTGTTCAACCCTTAGTTTATGCCTTCAAAATATTTATTTGCCATTTTTCTTTGAATTAAAAAACAACTAATATACAAACAAAAACTTAAGTTAGGCGATTAAGATGATTTTTTTTCTATGATGTTAACTGTTTGAAATCTTTTTCTAATTTTGAGAGTCAAACACTCTGCCTCGTGGATCAGCTGTCACTTTTATTCTTGTGTGTTTTTTATGTTATTTAATATCTGTAAATATGAGTGTTGATATTTTGTTTGTATTATGTCACATTTTCAATTTTTTATATTTATCTTTTCACAACAAAAAGTAAAACGATGAGAAAACCTGTGAAGTTTTTTTTTGTTTTTTTTGTCTTGGAAATGTAGTATTTTATATTTACATATTGTGTCCAGTGGACCAGCCAGCCTCTCAATCTGTAAGTGTGGACTTATGTTAGATTCATATTCTTTTTATGATTGTACATAGAAATCATAAAATTGAGTTCTTCTTTTTAATTTTTAAAGGAAAGACTATTAGTGCCTGAAAGAAACTCAATAATTTAGCATTTCTGACCTGGGAGTTTGAATTCTGAACTGCTTGTAGTCGTAATGAGTTTCATTTTACTCCTACTGAGTTGGTTTCATCCTGTTTCATTGTAGCTGAATGCAAAATGTAATATTGGACTCTGGCATCACTTCTTAATCTTCATCTATCCAATCCGCCCGCTCTGCATGATGGAAGCAGTCGGTGTGTACTTGAGCTAGAGGATATCTCAGTTTGTCCAGCTTTGATGTAAATATTTCTACTAACGGGATTTAAAAGCTTCAAGAAATGATTTGACATATATTTTCCCAGGGACATATTTTTTAAATTATTTTTTTTTTTTTTTTTTTTTTCTGTTGAGGCAAAATAAAAAGTTAAGAAGAAACGGGTGCATACAATTAAAATGGATTTTCATTTTTGTCTTATATTTCAGAAGATAAAACAATTCAGCCAAAGTTTTATCATTATTCTGCATTATTATTGACAGTCACTTATATTTCTTCCTTCTTTATGTTTCTGAAGCTTTCAGTTTGCTGCTGGGTTCTGTTCGAACACGACCACAGAAAGTTTGGATTTCACTGTTGATTAGACTGTATTAGAAAAATGTACAAATCAGTTTCTGTTTTTTTTTATAAATACTGAATAATTTTCTGATTTGTATAAAGGTATGAGAAGAAGAAGCTAATATGAAGTAGAAAGGGCCTTTTTTATTTTTAATTGGATGGTGTGTATTGAAGAGGGGGAGGGACAAAGAAGTCAAGAATTGGGGGAGGTTTGTATAAAGTTTTTGGAGCAATGTCAATAAAACAGTGGTCATTCAGTTTCTGTCTTCTGATTACTGCCAACATGCCGACTTCATGCCTTCATGTCTCATTTACTTTTCCCCATTTTAGACCATGTTTTTAAATTATCTAAAACATTAACGGTAACAATTTTGAGTTGACAGAAAATGAATCATTATGCCGTATTCAGACTGAATAATAGTGTATTTAAAAATGTTATGATTGAACATTTTTAAATACATTTTAAGGTAATTAAATTGAAGTTGGAAAGATTTGGGAAACAATTTTGAATTTGGTTCTCTTCCTTTTGCTGTGTTCAGATGTTTAAAAACTAATCTTATTTACATTAGCAGTGCCAGAATATTGTTATGATGGCCACTATGCATTTTCCATGTATGAAAAACATGTAAATATAATATTTGGCTCTCTGTACATTTGAAAAAGACAAGTTGGCTTTTTTTCGCTCAGATTTTTTGCCTTTTTCACCTGTGTTTAGGATTAAAATTGACTACATATCCGAAAAGTAATGGTATGTTCTTGGCAATTTTATTTGCATTAATAATTAAATTAATAAAAGTGTAACTTGTTACTAAGATTTAAAAGTTTCAGAAATTGTTGATTAATTTTCCCCCACAGATTTTAAGATGAAAACAAAAATCCTTACTTCATTATTCAAACAACTCTTTTTTCCCCTTTATGGTGTTTGTCAAACTTTATTTGTTAAAACATCTGAATATTAAATTTAGGATATTCTTCTTAGAGGTTATTTTCAAGCAATTCTTTTAATCTGACAAGCCTCGTCGAAAAGCCTATTCCAATTTACTGAGTTGAAACATTAATTAGTTTGGAAAGGTTAGATGTAACATTAACTTTTCTAATCATTGAAAGGCACAGCAAATAGTTTCACAGTTAATGTTTCAAATCTAACCATAATTTGGCGAGATATAAACTAAACAGGATCTGTTCAAAGACCAAAACGTCTTAGTATCGAGATAAGAGGAAGTAGTACATAATTCAACCACCAGGGGGCTGTCAGACGCTGCAGATTGGATGGGAACCCAGTGAGCTGCTGTCAGACAGATGTGAAGAAGCAACGGAGTGACTGACTCAGGAAACATTAATCACAGGTGAACACGATGACACAAACACATGATTTAAATTTCCCCAGAAGGAAAATGAGCCTCAACGGGGCTCATGATTCACAGTCAGTCAGAGGCTGAGGTCGTGTTGTAATGTAAAGCTTATAAAATCAAGCTAGATTAACCTAAATAGCAGGAGGGATCTTTATCACAACGTTTAAATTCAGTCCAGGCTCTGCAGAACATAAAAGGCAGCATGCTGCTGAACACATATTCATATTCTGCGTCCTCATGTCACCCCGACGCTGAATTGTTAAACTTAAAGATGGGTTTGTTTTTGTGGTCATGCTACAGCCTAACATGAAACTTGCATCTGCTCTTCTGTGTGTGTGGATGATTTCATTGATGGTGTTTACTTTACTGTCTGGTTTTTCTCTGCCTAATACTTGACAGCTTTTAAATCTGCAGCTGATGACAGACGGCTCAGAGCCATGACGTTTTAGTGCCTTGTCTGCCTTCCTTCTCCTTAGACAACCCTCAAGTTCATGAAGGGCAAACTCATGAGGCCAACATGTGTCACAGTTGTGTATCTTTGGAGATTAGATAAGTTTATTTCTACCATGCGATAGCAATGATGAATGATAACTGGAATAGCTCACGTCTGGTGTTAATTTGGCCTTAGAGACTATTTATTTGCTTCTTTTACAAAGCTGTGTTCACTGAGATCTATTTACATAAGAAAATTTATGAAGACGGGCGTACAGTATGTTTTTGGTCTACTTTAGGGACGACACATCTGTTTCCTATGAGGTAACCAGAAAAACGTGCCGTTAAACATCAAGACTTTCGCTAAGTGGGTGTTCATAAACTCACAATGCCCCCATAATTACCTGCTTGTTAAAATAATAAACAATAAAGTGCAATTTAAGGAGTTTATGGAGCCTTTATAGGCTCTGAACTGGCAGGATTACTGATGGCACAGCAGTGTTCTGTGTGTGATAATTGTTATGATTTAGTCATTTACATAGTCCAATTTGAGTGCGTAAAAAATGTCTTCCGGTTTAATCTCTTAGCCAATGTTTGTTCTCATTCGTCAGGAGCAAACAGGCCTGTATAACGTAATGTCCTCATGTCACTGCTGGGGAACAGAAGCTGTAAATTTGACCCAAACTCTGGACTTTCAAACTCCAATGAGGCTGGAAATGAAAACATTAAACTGCTACATTTACAGCCGTAAGCTGTAATCATTGGCAACAACTAACACTATAGAGCTACTCACTTTTTAAACAACACTGGCTGTGAGATATGTATAAAAAGTTTTCTATGACATATAATTTCTGACCAGTAATTTTGTTCTTTAAGTGGGGCTGTGAGATCATTAGTTTGCTGCAGAAAAAGTAAATTTTTTGTACTTGGTAATGACAGTTTTACAGGTTTATGCATGATGTTGTAACCCCTTGAGAATCTTTAGTCTTTTCTTAAATGAAATCATTTTTTAGACATAGGCTCTGTGTGTTGGGACATAACAGCAACTACAATAAGGACTTTAAAGTCAACAAAGTTATAAAATGGCTCTTCCGTAACCAACAAGTAATTGTGTGCTTGTAAACAAACAGAGATGATTGAGAATTTATGGCCAGACTTGAAAATTGCTGTTAACAATTCCTCCAGCTCCGTCTGATCTACATGTGATCAGAGCTGGAGTAATTTTACTAAGAAGACGGACAGAAATGTTCAGCATCTACAAAATTGTGTCGAAAAGATCTACTTTTTCTGACTACAGGACACCACAGGATTACTTAGCAAAATAATTCAAAGAGGATCTGTTTCTAGTTGTACCTGGAGAAACAAGTTGACAAATGTCACATTGAAGATGGTTAAAGAAAAATCCTAATTAATATTTGTTTTTTTAACTTTATCTGTATTTAAAATTTTACAAGTAAAAAATAAATATCTGTAGAAATGTGTTTCTGTAAATGATGATACAAGAAGAAAAAGGCATAAATATATAATTAGAAATAAATATTTCTGCACTCTTCTGCAGGTAAACATCACAGATTTATTTAGTTAAAAATCAAATGTTTCATCTATAATTAGAAGTGGTGACTTTGTGGATGATCCAATGTGTGTTAAAGCTCAGCTCATTTTTTATTTGGTGGATTTTTTTAAACCAAATTTTCACCCAAAACAGCTGTAACCCTCTGCCACAATCCTGTCTTGCAGAAGTGTAAATAATTTCCTCTCACGTACTTAAAATTAAATTCCAGCTTAGAATAATAACCGGAGACAAGGAAATATTTTGTTA